ACAAACCAATCTACCCCAAGATCTACCTTACAACACCACAAGATAGACTCTTGAAAAACAACCCAAGCAACCAAACCCGGTCGACGTAACCAGTGCAGAATCAAACCCAATCTACAAATTAAAATTCGTACAAGTATTGGAAAGAATAAACCTGGACAGTAGCTTTTGCAATACAGAAGTCCAGAAGCAAATTTTCTAACACAGAACTTTCTCTCTTGAAGATCTTTCAACAATCTTTATCAAAGCGCCTTATGATATGAATGTGTATGAATGCTCAGAAAAACACACGAATATGAGAGCTCAAAGATTGTTTTTAATCGATTTCCAAAATGTATATTTGAAAGAGAAATCAAAACTAGATTTATAGAGTAAAAGAGAAAAGCTGACAGTTCAATTGATAAAAATGATGTTTTAATCGATTGATTTCATTTAAACCTCTTTCAATCAGTTAATTCGAGCTTTTAATGGATTAAAACTACTAGAAGAAAAAATGGTAGCTCTCTATTTTAACAGATTAAAATTCATTTTAAAAGATTAAAAATTTGAGATACTTAAAATGAAAAAAATGGTATCTCTCTGTTGTAACAGATTAAAATTTGTTTTAACAGATTAAAAATTGGAGATACTTAAAATGCGAATTATGACTTAAAACATTTTAATCTATTGATTTATCAATTTAACAGATTAATACTGTGAAACCCTTAACATGGAAAAACCATCAAGAACATTTTAATATGTTGATGTTACGGTTTAATCAATTAAAATATTGGCTATATATATACATTTCCTATTTTAAGTGATTTTAACAGATTCAAACTACTTTTTAACAGATTAAAAAAAAACTCAATTTGTTCTTTCAAAGCTTAAAGGTTGGTTTTTCATGAAGTATGATAAATTCTATGAAAGGCAATAGTTATAGGCGCTCATCACAAGATATACTATAATTATCAAGGGATTAAATTCCATACCTATAACCTATCTACCTACACACCCACAAAATGAACTTTTTATGTCTTCATCAAATCCAACAAGTGCTTCACAATAGCCATCCAGCTCGTTGGTTGCTGGGGAGTTTTGGTGAATGCCTCTGAAAAAGGTAGGAATCCGCTAGGGATTTGTTGATTTTGATGGTACCTCTGAGTAGGCGTATGCTTCATCTGAAGTGAAGACTTTAGTGTTTCCACTATTTTGCCTCTGAATAGGTTGATATCCCATTCTGGGGATGTTGGCTCTCGCTTTCCAGGTCTTGCCTATGCGGAGGCGAACGATTCTCTGAGGATGTGAGTTTTGAAGGTTGCCTTTGCAGTAGGCTCACAAGGGATGTGTTTCTATTTTTTGGTGATCTACCAAGGAATTATTTGTTTCCTTGGGGATCTGATTTTGGTAGCCCTCTAGGGAATGGAGTCTTGGCTCCTTGATTGAGGTCGGTGAGAGCTGGATTTGCGAAGCTCATATTTCGCTGGAGGAATGGATATTATGATTCCTTAGTTTTGGATGCTTTATTCTAAGGTGACCCACTTGGGGATTGATTTGGTTACCTAAAAGTTAGGATTTTTCTTCAATTTTTCCTTTTTCCCCAATTTTATCTCTTTTTCTCGCGACTTTGAAATTTGGCTTCTTTGTGGGGATAATGCGTGTGCCTTTTTACTTCTTAGTTTCTTTTGTGCACACATACTTTTTCGTCTTTTTGGGTATCCGCTGGGGATGAAGTTTTTCTTTTTGGTGATCGACCAGGGAATTAGTTGGTGTCCTAGGGATCCTACTTTGATTTGATTTTTTCTAGTGATGGAGTCTTGGCTCCTTGATTGATGTTACTTCGAGCTAGCTTTGTGAAGCCCTTATTCCATTGGGGAATGAGAATTTCTGATTCCTTTTTTTGTAGACTTTTCTGCGGAGATCCACTTGGGGATTTTTTATTCGGCCTTTTTGTTGTGGCCCTCTCTTTTGAACATCCGCTGGGGATGCAAGGTTTTCTTCTCCTTTCTCTTCCTGTTGAACCCTTGAGGGTATGGAGGCTTGACTCCTTTGACTGTTGATGATTGTAGACCCCAAATCTTGCCCGGCCTCATAATAAAGACCTCCTATTCGAAGATGGACGAAGCCTAAGAAGCCACTAGGAGAGACTATTAGGCCCCATACTAGGATAGGAGGGATTTTCTGCATTAAAATAAGGATTTTCGCCTTCAGGGATCGAGACCGCCATCTCGCTATTCGAGACCACCGTCTCGCTATTCGAGACCACTGTCTCGCCATTCCTGCAAGTCGAGACCGCCATCTCGTTTGGCGAGACGGCCGTCTCGCCACCTGCAAATGGCGAGACCCCCTTCTCGTTTGGCGAGACGGCCTTCTCGCCACTTTTGCAAGGCGAGACAACCATCCCGAATGGCGAGACGGCCGTCTCGACCTTGTTAGACGAGACGGTCGTCTCGGCCTGATAGGCGCGAATCCCTATAAATAGCGAGCGTTTCACCCTCATTTCACACAGTTCTTGCATTTTCTCTCTTGCAACCTCTTCAAATTCTCTTCCTAGAACCCCTCCGAAGCATTTTCCGAAGTTTCTGAGAGTTTCCTAGAGTTTTTATAGCGTTTCCGAGAGATTTCCGGCATTGTAAAGAGAAAAGGGCTGCCAAAAAGCACCCAAATTTAAAAAAAAAAAAATTAATACAAAGCTTGCTTCAGAGGTTTCTTCATTCTCCCTCTCTCTCTTACTGCTTTATTTCTATGATTAAATTGCATGATAGATATTAGGGTCATGTAGTCGTTATTTCAATTTCGTAAATAAAAGGGTAAAAGCATCTTTTCACAAAGTTTATTTATTAAATAACTGGCCTATCATAGGGAACCTGAAAGGGGCGTCGTAAGGGAACTAACACTTCCCTTACACGTAACTAACTCCCTTACCTAACTCTGGTTTTAACGACCAAAGTTGGTTTTCGAAAACCAACGCCTTTTTACTCCTTTTTCGATGTTTCCGGTAAAAACATCAGTGGCGACTCCATAAGAACCTTTCAAAATTAGTTCTTGGGTTAGCCCGATTATCGAACAATCCAAGAACACTCTTTCGAAAACCTCGTCCCTAGGTTCAGCTTGGTTATCGGACAACCTAAAGGCGTTGTAACCACATCCATAAAAAACACGAAAATTGGAAAGTCAGAACCATCGCGTCGCTCCGACCTCCTCGTTTTGACGACGACAACAATGATGATGGGTTCGTGAAGCCTTTATTCTCCATTGGCGGGTGTGGAGGAGACTTTGAATGAGTGTGCTTGATGACTCATGTGGTGGCGATGCTGAGCCGTGAAGTAATTTTTTTGTTTGCCTCTAGAGTAGGCAATGATCCGCTTGGGGATATTCGAGCCTTTCCGTCGGCTTTTCTTTTCTGATGACTGTGCCTTCTCTTTATTGGGTAGAAGGATGATAGTTGGAGCTTTGGTTTTTGGAAGCTTTTATTATGCTTGAGTCGCTTGATTATTGACGGTGACTTGCTCTGCTTTCTTGAGGGGAGCTTTATTTGGAGACTTAGTCTGTGTGCTTCCTGTTTTCAATCACAAACATGGAGCATAGTCTCCTTATATGCATGATTATTATTTTTTGTTTATTTATTTGAAGCAGTTTTTATTTTTGTTTTTTATCTTGACAAAGTTGTTTTGTGCGACTACTTGTGTGGATGCCCTCCATGCAATCTATTCTTTTATGAGATGCATCTAGAAAAGTGACCGGCATTCTCCTGTTGTGCATGTTGACGGGCTCCTTTCTTTAATTTTTTTGGTTTAGCCCTAACTTTTGCCTAGATCGCCCTTTTGGGATTTTCGATCTAGCGGGCTGCTTTAATTTTTTCCTAGGATACCTTGGCGAACTTTTTCCTTTTTTACGAGTGCCTTAACTTTTGCCTAGACCACCCTTTGCTGGTTTTCGATCTAGCAGGCTACCCTAATTTTTGCTTAAGAATCTCCTAACGGACATTTTTTTTT